CACTACCTGTTTTCAAGGTGTGTGTCAGTAAGCATTTTACAGTATCATACCCCGGAACAAATTTTGAGATGAGATGCACTACTTTCCAACCCCACTCAGAATCATGGCTATCACATCACGTACTAGTCAAGAGCAGTGCCGCATCTGATACTTCGAAGCACGTACTGACACATACCTTGAAAATGGGTGGTGGGGCCCGATCTACTGGTGATTTCAGGATCATTCTATGCCGAGTCTGGTAGTTGGGAAGGCCTGTAAGTGAATGTTGAACTTGTGTGATTGTATGTAAATGACTTCTTACCTTCATTATCTATATATTTAATGCCAGATTTAGCTGATTGCACTCAGTGAGAGTCCCTGCGAAGTTGGATTGATCTATGTAGATTGATGGCGTCTATTGGAAAGGGGCCTCAAGTAATTGGTGAACTATTCTTAAAGCATGGATTCATTTACCTTCTCTTTTATGTCTGTTTACTATTTTGGATTCATTTTCCTGCCATTGTGAATTGCCATACATTTCTGGCTTCTTTTTCTAGCTTTTATAGCCACAAAATTACACTGCATTCTTTTCCTTCTCTTCTACATTGTAGACTATTTTTGGACTCTGTTTCTTTCTTTCATGGTCTCTTGATTTATTTTTGGATCATTTGACTTTCTTTATAGTTGGTGTATTATTTTAACCTCCTCATACTTGACTGAGGTTGGGGCAGGTGCTCCAGAGACGAGAAGTAGATAGGGCAGCTTTTGGTGAGGAAGGCAGCTGAAACAGGTAAATGAAAGACCATTTTGCCTCTTCTTTTTCTTTCCTCACATCTTTTTTTTTTTTTTTTCATTTGATGCATTTATGATCAGTTATTCATTTATGATGGTGTATTGTGGATTGACACCAACTTGGTAAAAAATTGAGACCATTGCTGGACCATATCATCTTTCCCCCTTCTAACATCTTTTTTCATTTATTTTAAATATAGAACAGTTTTGTTACTTATGCCAACAGGTAAATAAAAGACAATTCAAAATCAGCTTTTCCTTTCAGAACATAGTTTTTTGTGTGATACAATAATATAATATAAATCGTATACAAGTACATTGGGAAACACTTTCATCAAGCTACCATACCATACCATTTGTTTAGAAAAGAATCCTACCTTTTAAAATATCAACTTTTTTTTGAGAAAATATTTTATTTTTGTCTCTGCATGCGAATGATTCCTTGAAGTAAAAAAGGTTTTTCATCTTCAGTTCTCTTTCCACATAAATATTCCCTTCAAATTGTTCCTTCTTATAGTCATCTAACCA